TGAGGGCTGAGAACTCCCAGTCCTGAGATTCTGAGCTATTGATCTTCCCTGGACTAGGATGAGAATAGGCGTTCCTCCCTCCCCTTCTAGCTGCCCTAACGCCTGACCTGGCCTGTGGAGCCTGTGGAAGAACACTTCTCGGATATGCAGGGCCAGGGTAAAGCCATGCTTTTCTTTTTTTCCATTTTCTTGCACCCCTCCCCCCATTTTTCTGCTGCCAGGTCTCTACCATAGCCACGTCTTCTTTTTTCTGCAGAGCTCCTTCCGTGCTCCCGATTCCCTGCTAACTGTTGGCAGACACCCCAGCAATCTCTAATGCTTTCTCTCCTTCCCTTTCCCTGAAGAAAACTGTGACAAAACTGACCCCGGGAAAAGCATGTCTTTGGGGCTTGTTTCCTAGAGGCAGGCCCTGAAGATGGAAGAAGTGGGAACCCTAGCAGGCTGACTCGCTGGAAACCAAGGGTGCTACTCATCCTCGTGATACCATGTCTCCAGCGGACTTCACCAGTCAGGCAGTGACCTAGTGACCTTCCTAGACAATCACCCGAGGTGCTCCAGGCATACCCATAATGTCTAGGAACTATGTAAGGGCAGATTACCAGTCATTTCCTACCCCTTAAACTTCTCCCTGCTCCTAACCTATTTCTTCCTAGCAACCAAATTTACCTCTTCTCCTTCCCCAAAGGATCCTTGTTTCTCTGAGCCATGACTGAGCTAAATAAAGCCCATTTCCCATTCAGACCCCAGTTTGAGGAAGGAGAAGCTGGGACCTTTCCTTTTTTTTGCAAACCTGGATCTCAAACAGGCAGGATTCAGGGCACTGGATACTTGCCTTCAATAGGTAAACTTCCTGCAATGAAACTTTCCAATTGGAAGCTCAGCACCTTGAACTTTAATTTATTGCAGTCACTGTGATACGTGCCTTCTTTTCTAGGTATTGAACTTATTCTTGAGGACATCGGGGAGGGTGGGTGGAAGATATAAAGTCTAGGCCCTCTCTTCCCTCCCCCCCTTGCCAGAACACTATCCTCCCTTAAGCCTCACTTCCCCGATGGCCTAAGTAGTTGTGCTGGCCTGACAGAGGCTAATCTGCCAACAATTAGTGAATCATCCACATAAATCTTCCCTCAGTACATGCACTCAGTAGCTCAGAGCTCACTGCTTGTGTACTTGAGACAGAAGCAGTACAGCAGGGACTCGCTTCTGAAAGAGGGCTCTGGAAAGGGAAGAGTCAATCCCTGACAGACTCTGTAACCCGCGGAGCTTCCCAGCCATCTCCCTTCTCCTAAGCTGGTCATGGGTCTGGACACGGGACAGCTCTTTAGGAGAACTGGTGAGATGCCAGACCACCTCATCCTACCTCCCAGAGTAGGAGAGAGCACAGAGATGTGACTCCAAGTAGGTAACAGGGGCTGAGGCTTTAGAGGCCAACCCAGGAGACTGGAAAGACTCCTTTTATATTCCAAACTGGGACGGTGGCCAGGTCAGACTCAAACCCCGAGCCTCATCCCTATACATCCTCTGGTCAACTAACACGCACTGAGGGGAGAGGCTGCGTGTCCTTCCTCACAGGGGACACACTTCCCTTCAGGGTCTCCTAGTGCTTCATTTCCAGCTCTATCAGCAAAAGGCCTTTTTTGCTCCTTCCCTCCTCTTTGATCTGGGCCCCGTGAATCTCCCAACTTGTCCTTCGCTAATCAAGTAGCAGCATGTATTAACCTGGCTGTCCCACTTGGCAGAATTATTTGATAATGTGCAGTAAGAAAATCTGGCAAGGCAGCTAGAAAATATAAAACTACAGGGTTGTAAAGGAAAACTGCATTCTCCAGGAGGTCTCTCAGCATAAAAGTAGGGAACTATTGTGCTTCATATTTGATAATTCCAGGTTAGTACTTGAAACCTGTCATGCTGCCAGAAAGTTCTTTCATAGGTTGTTGTTTTGTATTCCCAAATGGATATAATTGATACCAGATTCATCTGAGTTCTATAAAGAAAACATTATTGAGCTACCTTAGATCTGAATTGCTTTTTTTCCTCTCTTGCATTATCCATTCATTCATCTGGTCATTCAGCAAACACTGGAGTGCAAATACAGTGGTGAACAACACAGCAACCTCCTTGCATTCAAGGAGTTTAGGTTCTCTCTTACACTCAATCACCAGGGCTGTGTTCCCCTTTGCAAATATGGACAACTCCAGAACAGCTGCTTGGGAAGACACCTTGGAGGTCAGCTAGTCAAACCTTTTGTTTTACAGATTAAAACTGATGCTGAAAAAGATGTCCGTCTTGTTCAGCCAACTAGTAAGTTACCATGGGGTACATACTGGAACCCTGATCCCTTCCCTCCTCTTGTGTACTCTTTAAGGCCCATCTGTCTCCACCAGAGAGAAGCAGAGGCAGATCCTGAGAAGTGACAAGGACACTGGGTGGAGGAAGGGGGGCGCAAAACACTCTCTCCTTCCTGTCCCTGGCCTGTGAGCCTACACACAGGCAGGACTTTTCTTTTCTTGAAAAGAATCCCAGCCTCAACTGGCCTTAGCAGCAGGTTAGGGCAAAGACAGAGCCAGGGTCGTGCTCAGCCCTGGTGGTGCTGGCGGTGGTGGGAGGGGAGGGCAGGCCAGGGCACCCGCCTATTGTGGGTCTGGATTGGATGCTTCCACTCATTCATTTCCTTTTAATTAACCGCATTCCTGGAGGAGAAATATTTATGTTGGCTCCCATAGAGGCAATCCGCAGACTGGAAAGAAGGGGGAAGAAAGCCTGCCTTAGCAAAACAATATCTCTAAAGAGCTCAAGAAGAGAAAATAAGAGAACAAAATGCCATTAAAATAGCCTTCTACCCCCACTGGAGTCAATGAAAACTTCATTTCACATGCTAATCCCCCACTCCGCCCATTCTCTTCTCACAACACCTTTCCCGAAAGTGTTTGGGAAAAGTCTTCGCAGTCAGTACACAGCTCCCGCAGCTCAGACTTCTCCTTGTGTTAGTTCAGGGCCCCAAGTGGGGCTCTCACTCCAGCAGCGGCTTTTTTCTCCCCCCCTTTAATTTAAACAAAGACTTCGGAGTTCATCAACCTCCCACTGAAATTCACAGCTGCTGAACAAACTAATCCCCTCTCCCTGCCTTTCTTCCCTTCAATGGGCTCTTGGCTTCAAAGACACTTTGGGAAAGGACTTTGCTGGGGCTCACACTGCTTCATCAATAGAAGTTAGTGCAAGTATTATCTGAAGAGCAAGTGGCTTTACAAACAAATACTGCCTAACAATCCCTTCCTCCCAAACACACACATCTAGCCCACAGACATGATGGGATCTACAACAGGATTAGAGATCGTACCCCCGGCTTCACACCCAGCCCCTTTGTGCAGCTGAGCTCGGCCCTGAAGTGCTGTGGGGAAAACCCTAGAGCTGAACGTCAGGCACGGACGGAGACATACAGACACACACACACACACAGCAGAGTGGCCACAGATGCTGCAAGGCTTTCTCCTTGCACCTTCCTTTCTTCAACTCTCTAGACTCCTTATGTGTCCTGCCTTACTGGGATGCAGGGAGCAAGAACAAAGAGGCTAGGAAGAGAGGTAAGGGCAAAATAGGACCAGAGGAGACAACAATCGGGAGATGACTGAGGAAACCAAATCAAAGCAGCTTTATTGCCCATTAAGTACATCAGCGCTTCAAATGCAAAGTTCAACCATAAAAAGTGCAGCCAGAGAAGGCAGCCCTGAGACATGTGGGGGCTGAGGAGAAGGGCCTCCAACTCTTGAGGAGCAGTGCTAGAAAAGGCTTTTGTTAATATGAACTGGGCTGATGATCACAGAATGAATGGTCAAGGGCCGTGTGCCAGGGCCCCGACAGGTCAAGTCAGGACCATTCCCCGCAGGCAGTGGTCCCTCTCCTCCTGTTTCCCAGCCTAGGACAGCTCCCAGCAAAAGGCAATGCACCTCTTCTATTTTCCGCCTAACCTAGCCCACTCTTATAATACTGGCAGATGAGTAGGTCCTTGTAAAAAGGGCCAAAGTTCCTCCTTTTGGTTCTGCTCAGCACCCACCCCTCACGTCCATGACTTGTTCAAAAGATGAACAACAGTCAACTCTACCCCAGCCTCTGGGGCTCAGAGAAAAAAGGACCTGGAAATATGAAGTTGGAGGCAAGGAGAAGGTAAGGTCAGGCTCATCACCCACAGAAGGGGAAAAACAAAAGCCCCACAAGCTGGGTACAGCAGAGGCAGACTTGGAGGTAATGATCCTACTTACCCCCTCAGAAGCCACTTAATCAGAATATCCCAGGGGTAGAAGACGCCCTGCTCTGGGTCCTGTCAGGGTACAGTATCAGGGAAAGTGAAGAACCAGCTCTCTGCTCTGCCTCAGGGGCTGAGAGAGCCTTGGGTAGATTCCAGAAGGCCAGGCCTAAAGGCGTGGAAAGCAGGCACTCTGCTAGTTCAGAGGCAAGCCCACAGCATCATATCCCTGGCAGCAAGGGAAGAGCGCGGGGAAAAACAAACAATCTATTCCTAAATTCCCCCTTTTCTGCAGGGAGGAGTTAAGTAACAGCAGAAGTAGCCTCTTGGCAAGAGAGGCTAGCTGGTTTACATGTACAGCTTATGAGCAATGGTAAGGACAGCCTTCAGGACAAGCATGAAGCTGGAGACCTCGCTGAAGCTGCTGTAGCCCACCACCTGGGCATGCACCGCAAGGCCCTGCTCAAAGTTTCCTGCGTCCACACATCGGGCAACCTCATGGAGCCCAGCCAGGACATGAGGCGAGAGCTGTGGAGGGACAGACGCTTAGGTCAGGGAGCCCAACCCAGACCCTACCCTGGGAGCATGGAAGGGTAAGAGAGGATTTAAGTTCTGGAGCCCAGGCCGGGCAAGATGGCTATGTATGTATATTGTGGGGAACCCAGGTCAGTGAGACCTATGGGAGAGGACACTGGGGTCCCTTTGGCCACAGGTGATGGTGGGGGGCAGGGGGCAGGGGGCCACCACTAAGTGTACTTACTGTGCCCTGGCAGAGCTTAGCATATAGACATTCTAGACGTTGGGCTGCCTTCTCCAGCTTCCGTTTTGTCTTCTGCAGGGAGGGAAATGGATTCTGAGTCCAGCCCCTAAGACTGACACTACACAGGACTCTAGAGAAGCACAGTATGTCCGAGCTGGAACGACTTAATGCTACTGCTTTCATTTCACAGGAGAGGAAATGGGGGCCCAAAGAGGGTAAGTGACTTGCTTAAGCTGACACAGCCACTGCATGAATAGCAGGTCGCCTTACTCCTAGTTTCACCCTCCCTCCAGTGCCCCATGCTGCCTTTCCATGAGTTAAGCCTCAATGCTGCTGGGCCCTGCTACCTAGGTGCTAGACTCAGATCAGCCGAGCCCCCCACCCCTTGCCCCACACGGATATCAAATAAGTACAAGACATAAGACAGCGGGTCCGGGGACCATGAGAAAAGAGTCACACAAGGAGCTGATCTACAGCTCAGGGATCCTGGGAGCAAGCTAGTGGTGTGAGGAGGACATCGTGGGGAAGGCTCAGACTTACTACATCAGTGGCAGACAGGGAGCAGCGTCGCAGAAGCTTCTCAAAGCTGGTCTTCAGGGACTGATGCTCTGGAGGCAGCTCTTTCCTTTCCACCTTCCGAGGGGGCCGCTGCTGAAGTTGCTGAGGGAGGAGCAGGGAGACAGGGCAGACTGGCAAGCTGTCCTTCTCACAGCTTCCCTACGGACTAGTCCTCAGGGACCCAGTGTCACGCCGCTCCCCCTAGACCACAGCAAAGCTGGGGGAAGGGGCGCGCCCTCTTCTCTGCAGTAAGGACATTTGGTACCTGTCCACACTGGTTCCCCAGTGCAGAAGGGGCCTCCCCTCTGGGGAATGAGGCCCAACTACCCATGCTCCCTGCTTTTCTATACCCAAGGAGAGTTGGACTGCACTGTTCCTCTCACCTGCAGGCTGAATTCTCCTGGAGCTCCTGGGGAAGCATGGTCCACACCAAGGACAGAAGGCTGTGAGGAAAGGAACCCTCGTGGCTCAGGGGTGAGGCTCATAACTGGAGCAGTAATCGGTACCGGGGGCATAAATGTCTCTGGCAACTAAAGCCAGAGAAAGAAAGGCATAGGAGTCTAAACTGAGAGACTTGCTAGGCCCTGCTTTGAGAGAATAACAGACGGGGCGCCTGGGTGGCTCAGTCAGTTAAGTGTCCACCCTCGGCTCAGGTCATGATCCCGGGGTCCTGGGATCGAGCCCCACATCGGGCTCCCTGCTCCGCGGGGAGCCTGCTTCTCCCTCTCCCACTCCACCGACTTGCGTTCCCTCTCTCGCTGTCTCTCTCTCTGTGTCAAATAAATAAATAAATAAATCTTAAAAAAAAGAGAGAGCAACAGAAGTCCTGAGTGAGCAAGGGAACAGAATAGCGAGTAGGGAGCCAGGAGATGGGGAGACTGATACATATATGCAAGAAGGAAACAGGAGATGGCCGAGGGGAGAAGAATGAGTGGGGAAAAAGACAAGACAGTCTGTGTGCCTGACAAAGGGACGGGCTGAATTCTGGAAGAAACTAGAATGTGGGTCATTGGTGAATGTATGAGGGGTAGGTGGCAAGAGATGAACTGACCTTTTTCCTTTGGAGGTCTGCCCTGGGCACTGGGGCATTTTTCAAGGAAGCTTGAGGTCCTGCATAGCACAAAGATAGAGGTATTTAGGGGCACAGTCAGGGACACTGGAAATCTTCAGTCTGAAGGCCAGCAAAATTATTTTAGTTGGAGTCAATCACACCTCCCTCTGCAGACCAACCATGTGCTCAGTTGACATTCTCCAGCCCAACGGCCCCCAATCCACTGGCGTGAGGAAAGACTCCTAAGGTGACAGTGGAAGGGGGAAGAGAAGGAGGCAATGACCCAGAAGGTGGAAGCTGTGGAAAGAAGACTGACCTGGGTGAGCAGTCGAGGGGCCAGTGGTCGGGAGGACACTAGAGCATGCAGCACCTGGCCCTCCTGGAGGGTGCGTCACAGAGAAACTGCCAGGAGGGGCTAGGGACCGGAAGCTTGTAGGGCTGACCCCTGGTAGTCTCACAGGAAGTGGAGGGAACAGTCGAGCAGTCTCGGCCAGGGAGGTAGAGCCAGGCTGTATGACATCTGGGGGTACCATGGGTGGAGGTGGACCAGGAAGAGGCCATGTTCCAGGGAACCCCATGAGGTTAGGAACTTGGGCTTTTTGCCCTCTTAACAACAGTGGCTCAAATAAAGCTGAAAAGGAAGAGAAACAGGCCATTTGCCATCAAACTTCAATTTGGGAGAGACTCAGAGCATATCAGGGAAGAATAAGGCAGCAATAAAACCAACCAACCAACCAACCTAATAATGCTAACGAAAGATTAATATATGCATATGGAGATCTATCATTCACAAAATACTTTTAACTATTCCTCATTTGACCCTAAAAACAATCCTGTGGGGTTGAAATGACCAATATAATAGCTATTCTCACTTTTCAAAAGAAACAGTGGCTAAGTTTGTTGCCCATTGATACAAAGCCAGTAAGTGACAGTACTGGGGATTCAGACTTCAAATTCTAAGCTCTTCTTGCTACATAGTAGACATAATGCCTCCCATACCCATGCTGGCCATGCCAACTGTTTTCCTCTGTGCTCTGCCCAGACAAATCTTGACTCACTCACTCATTCACTCACCAGGCCTTACACCAGGGGCCAAAGGCAAAGGCTGGGCTGCCTGGGGCTCAGGTACCCTGTAATCATTTATATTCTGTGTTTGGAAGCTTTGATAAGGGCCCGGATGGGAAGGTATCAAGGGTGTCAGCAGTGATGACTGAGGTGTGAAAATCCTTGGCCTTGGAGATGGAGTTGGAACCTGTGAAGAGAAAAAAGGGTCAGCACTTGGAAAGGAAAAGAAAGGTAAGTAATTGAAAATAGAAGAACAATAAAGAACATGAAACAAAAAGTTAGCTCTTAAAATGAAAATCAACGGAACTGGTAAGTTTCTATAAAAAGTGACAAAGACAAACAGAGAAAGACATGTATCATATGATCTCACTGATATGAGGAATTCTTAATTGTAGGAAACAAACTGAGGGTTGCTGGAGTGGGGGGTGGGGTGGGAGGGATGGGGTGACTGGGTGATAGACACTGGGGAGGGATGTGCTCTGGTAAGCGCTGTGAATTGTGCAAGACTGTTGAATCTCAGATCTGTACCTCTGAAACAAATAATGCAATATATGTTAAGAAAAAAAAGAAGAAGAAGGTAGCGGGAGGGGAAGAATCAAGTGGGGGAAATCAGAGGGGTAGATGAACCATGAGAGACGATGGACTCTGAAAAACAAACAGGGTTCTAGAGGGGAGGGGGGGTGGGAGGATGGGTTAGCCTGGTGGTGGGTATTGAGGAGGGCATATTCTGCATGGAGCACTGGGTGTTATGCACAAACAATGAATCATGGAACACTTCATCTAAAACTAATGATGTAATGTATGGGGATTAACATAAGAATTAAAAAAAAAGTGACAAAGAGGGGCGCCTGGGTGGCTCAGTCTGTTAAGCATCTGCCTTGGGCTCAGGTCATGATCCTGGAGTCCCACGATCCCTGCATCAGGCTCCCTGCTCAGTGGGGAATCTGCTTCTCCTTCTTCCTCTGCCCCTCCCCCTGCTTGTGCTCTTTCTCTCTCTCTTTCTCCCTCACTCTCTCTCTCAAATAAATAAAATCTTAAAAAAGAAAGAAAAACAAAGTGGGAGGAATTATTCTTCCTCATGTCAGGACTTACTATATAGAGGTAGTATTCAAGACAGAGTGGTATTGTCAGAGGGAAAGACACACAGATCAACAGAACAGAACAGAGATCTGAAAAATAAATCCATAAAAATATGCCCAGTTAAGTTTTTGACAAAGGAGCAAAATCAGTTCAATGGAGGAGAGACAGCCTTTTCTTTTTTTTTTTTTTTTTAAGAACTTATTTATTTGTCAGAAAGAGAGAGAGCACAAGTAGGCAGAGCGGCAGGCAGAGGGAGAGGGAGAAGCAGCCTCCTTGCTGAGCAAGGAGCCCGATGTGGGGCTCAGTTCCAGGACCCTGGGATCATGACCTGAGCTGAAGGCAGATGCTTAACCGACTGAGCCACCCAGGCATCCCGAGACAGCCTTTTCAATAAATGATTATGGATATCCATTGGCAAAAAAAAAAAAAAAAAAAAAGCTTGACCTAAATTTCACACCATATGCAAAAATTAACTCAAAATAGAACACAGACTTAACTGTAAAACATAAAACTATAAAACTTTTAGAAAGAACATGGGAAAACTTTAGGGGACTGTGGACTGGCAAAGACATAAAAGCCATGATGATCCATAGAAAGAAAACTATAAATTGGACCTTAAAAAATTAAAAATTTTTGCTTTGTGAGGGACCCTGTTAAAAGGTGAGAAGACAGGGGCACCTGGGTGGCTCAGTCGTTAAGCGCCTGCCTTCAGCTCAGGTCATGATCCCAGGGTCCTGGGATCGAGCCCCACGTCGGGCTCCCAGCTCCGCGGGAAACCTGCTTCTCCTTCCCCTACTCCCCCTGCTTGTGTTCCCTCTCTCGCTGTGTCTCTCTCTGTCAAATAAATAAAATCTTTAAAAAAAAAAAAAAAAAGGTGAGAAGACAAATTCTTACATAATTATACACACACACACACACACACACATACACACTGGTGAGATCTGAATCTATGGATTGTACTAATATCAGTTTCTTGGTTTTGACATTGTACTATGGTTGTGTGGGACACTGGAATGAAGTGGGGGTGGGGATGTGATGCATGAGACTTCTCAGTACATTTCTTTGCAACTTCCTGTGAATCTGTAATTATTTCAAAATAGAAAGGAGAGAGGGAGAGGCAGAGAGACAGAAAGAAAGAGGGGATAGGAGAAGGAAGAGGAGGGAGTGGAAAGAAGGAGGAAAGAAGAAAGAAAATTAAGATGAGAACTGAAGGTGGGACAGGATGAATCATCAGAGCTTCCACCTGGTACCTCTACTTACCATCTTGCTGGATTTTGTTCCCCAGTCCCTCCAGCAGGATCCTGGTATCATAAGTTAATAGCACCCTAACCATCTGGGCACTGGATAGTGTCTGGGGGTCAGTTCCCCCACTTCACAGACTCCTCTAAGCCATCACCAATTTCTGTCAATTCTACCTATTATCTTAAATCCAACCTCATTCTCCAGCTTTAGGTCAGTCATTTCATGTCCTCATCATCTCTTGCTATTGCCTCTTAAATGCCTCCAGCCTTGTCCTTCCTAAATACATAGCTAGTCATTCCCCTGCATAAGACCATTCAATTTCAGGGTCAAGTCTAAGGTCTTTAGCACAGAATTCCAGGTCCTTCCTGCTCTATCTCCTACCTGTTACTCCAGCTTCATCTAACCTCACTCCCCTACAACAAACACCTGTTTGGCAGCCCCATTAAAATATTAGTAGTTCCTCAAGTGGGCTTTGCTTACTCTCCCTTCAATGCTTTTGTACAAGCTGTTCCCATTGCTTGAAATAGCATTTACCTACTCCTTCCCTTGCCTAAATAACTTTTAATCTTCAATACTCAAACATCATACTCATTCTAAAACGTTCCCTAAACTTCTCCCCCTCCTCGAAAGACTAAATTGCTTTTTTCTGTGTGATCCCATGGCACCTTATCATACCCTAATCATGGCATTGATGAATTTTACTGTACTTATTTTTTACATATCTATCTTTCTACTAGACTATGAGCTAATTAAGGGCATAAATCATGGTTTGTCCACATTTCTGTTCTAAGAGCCTAGCAGTTGTTTGACAAGAAGTTATCAGAAAAATAACTGAATCTATGCTCTGCAAAGTTGAGAATTTTCATCATTTTTTTTCACTAATATATTCCAAGTGTCTAGAACCATGCTTGGTACCTGGTAGACATTTAATAAGTATTTTTGAATGAATGAGCAAATGAATGAACAAACCAAACCAGATCTTACCAGGTGAGAAGGCCAGAATCCCAATCTGTAAGATGATGTTTCTTCAGAGTGGGGGGTAGCTCCCACAACAACCCGTGGGAAGGGGAAAGGAGGACACTGTTGGCCCAAGACACCAGAACCTTGGGCATGAAAAAGTCGATCTCTCAGCTGCTGAATTGGTGGCTACAAAAGTTATAATAGTGAAGAACTGTGTTAATTAAAACAAGTAAACATCCTTTCTTATAAGCCTCGCCCCATATAGCATTCAAACTTCAGTTGGCCCTCTACACTTCAGCCACCTTAGATGACTCAAAGGTCCCTAATCCCTGCCAAGCCTCCCTCCTTACTGTTCCTTCTGCCTAGAATGCCCTACATCTGCTGGGAAGCTGCTTCTTTTTGAAGGTCCAGCTCAACTGTTTTAACCACTGGAAAGCCTTCCTTGATTGCTCTGGGCAAAACCAGCCCCTTTCCTGGAGTCCCACAGTGCCTAGTATAAGCTTCTGTTATAACACTGTAAGTTACTGACATCTGATTTCCCCCAAGGGACTGTGAGCTTCCTAAGGGACTAGATCTCATTTATTCTAGAATTCCAGCATTTGCATAGTGCCTAGAACATGGCAGTGCTCAGCCAGTGTTAGATGACTGAAATGGTTTGCTCTCTGTACGTGGTCCCACTCACCTGAGTACAGTCACTGGGTAGGTAGCTCATGGCAGTGGCCAGGCTGCCCTGGGCTGCCAGGAGATTGGCATACTGAGTGACCCTGCAGGTTGTGGCAGGGCCTGCGCTCACCCCGTCAGGACCCCGCAGTAGCTCCAAGCTCCTATTAAGGACCATCACCTTCTCCATCAGGTCCTATAGGAACAGGGATAAAGGCAGTCAGGTCTCTTCAAAGCACATCCTGCTCCCTAAGACCAGGCAGTTCACCCAGGGACTTCCCACTTTGGGTATGAGGGTACCTGGCCATGGCCAGGTACAGGCAGCAAGTGATGATACGTAAGAGATGTAATAGTTAGAGAAGAGCCTCTTGGCCTCACCTCCCAAGCTATTAGCATTTGCTTCAACTGGGTCCATCTGGGTCTTAGACTCTCATACATCTCTGCCTCTTTTTTTGCTTTCTTTACCCTTTCCTCTGCTAGTACATCATCAGTTTCAGGGTCTGTTATACTATCGTTTCATCTGTGACTTTGTCTTCCTATGAGTCTTCTCTAGTTACCTGTAGAGTGTCTGGTAAAATTTAAATCCACAGAACTTTTCATAGCAGCTAATAGGAGGCTCAGGCTCACAATTATTCAAATAGAGAATAACTTTGTATAACCAAACCTAAAGTGGGAAAAAATTATGAAGGTTAACACCTAAGCAGCTGTTGCTCAGTCTCCCCTGACTGGGAAGGAGAGAGGGAGGTGCTAGCTCATCCCTGGGAAAAGGTCCCAGACACTGAAGGCCCTTTTCTACTCCCTAATATACTAATCCCAGCCTGGGTACCCAGAAGACTTGCCTCTGATGTCCCTGCACATCCCTATCAATAGCCTTTCCTAAGAGCCTGGTATGGAGTGACCAGTGCCCTACAGAGAAGGAGCACCTGTAGAGCCAGGGGGGAGGAAGCCTGGTGGCATCTTGCCCAACACTCCACCAGCTGCTCCACACTCCCTGAGCACACATAACAGAGTCTGGCTTCGGAGGTTAGTGCTCTGCCACCCTCCTGTTCCATGCGAGTACCCAGCATGTCTGCAGAGAGAAGGAAAGTTCTTTAATGGCATAGCTTTCCCGTGCTTCTTCTCATTCTCCTGTTTGAAAATAGGTGGAGGATCATGAGCTGGGACAAGTAACCACAGTGGCTTTGGACAATAATGAGGCCAACTTTGCGCTACAGGGAAGGGCGGAGCTCTTGCGAGAAAAAGTAAAACAGGACAATACATGATCCCTACTAGAGTCCTTGCCTCCCAGCTGAACCAGACCTTGGCCTTGACAACACGGCCTGACCTCCCAGAGCTCAGGCTGCTCCTCTGCCTCCTCCCTCACCGTGTCCATGAACTCCACGCTAGAGTCACACCACTCCATCCTGAAACCCAGGGCTACCTACCACAGAGCTCAGGGAACTTCTCTGGCCCAGAGTAGGTCAGGAGCAAGGCCAGTGCCTCTTTCCAGTTCTGCAGGCTACAGGCATAAACCATCTCCTCCCAATTCTTCCGTACAACACAGGCTAGCAGCTATAATGAGCAGAGAGGGAAGGACGTCATTAGCCATCCATCCAACACAGTCAGAGTCACACACAGGGACGTGCTAAGAAAAGCCACTGGTGAACAGGCTTCCTATTAGACCACTGACTAGGCGTTGGGGGTGAGGTAGGAGTGGTTGGAGTGGGGAGAGGGAAAGCCTGGCAGATCTTCTAAACATCAAGGTGCAGGCATCCACCTGACAAAGTCCAAGTAATCCCCTCCCCTCCTCTCCTGCACAGTGGGCAGTTACCGAAGAGATTCTGGTTTTCTTCTTGGCCCAGTAGCACTCCTGTGTTTGCTTTAGCAGATCTGCACCCCCAGCCTGGGCCAGGATGATGGCATCAGCAAAGCGCTCTTCTTTCAGACACAGCTCCACAGCAGGGCGTAGTTCTCCAAGCAGGAGAGCCTGGCTCAGGAGTCCATCAGTGTCTGCAGGCAGAGGCATCCCCTCCATGTGAGCCTGCCCTCAGACCCTAGCTTCCTGTCCCCTACAGGGCCCATAGTACACCCCTTCTATCTCTGTATCACTCAGCCTCCCTTGCCCCAAACAAAAGTCCCAAGTTTCATTCCTCAACAACAAAATGTAGTGGGCTGTCCCAGAGTGCCAGGTCCAGTGGTAACTCTAAGGACAGGGCTCAAGATGAGGGAGAGCCTCATATGGCAATATTAGAGGTATAGTGTGTGGTTGCTCAGCAAAAACAGAGTCACAGTGGTTTTTTTTTTTGTTGTTGTTGTTTTTTTAAAGATTTTATTTATTTGCGAGAGAGACAATGAGAGACAGAGAGCATGAGAGGGAGGAGGGTCAGAGGGAGAAGCAGACTCCCTGCTGAGCAGGGAGCCCGATGTGGGACTCGATCCCGGGACTCCAGGATCCGAAGGCAGTCGCTTAACCAACTGAGCCACCCAGGCGCCCCGAGTCAGTGTTTTAAGTAAGAAAACAGTAGAAAAAAAAAATCTTGCTAGAAGGCCTTCCACAGGAAAGACATATCCATAAAAATCCAGAGAGAGCTCTAACCAGTAACAGAACCACTCAGCATTTGTGATGGTGGGAGGGAGGCAGGAGGCAGAGGACAAGAAGAAAATGTTCTCAAGTCCAAGAACTCTGAGCCCACCTACTCCCACATAGAGCGTTTCTCTCCCTCAGGATCAGAGTACCTTCTGTGATGGGGATCTCCCATGGAGTCATATTCTGAGGGACCAGCTCATCAAAGAAGGATGAGGAGGCAGAGGCTTCCTCTGTGATGTGTTCGGAGGTCTGTACAAGAAAGGACAGAGGTGGCTATTTTGGAAATGAACCTGAAAACAGACAGACAGCTGGCTTGGTAGCTCTCTCTGAGAGCTCTACTATCTGGCCCTTAATGGGTAAAGCTACAGAATAACCAGATAAGGTTTGGGAAGGTCTCTAGTCCATAGCTCCTCTCCCAGCCCAAAAGTTTATGCACTCTGTGTCTCACTGTGGTTCCAAGAAATGAGGAGTTTGAAGACTTCTACAGAAGCCAAGCACTTTATGAGAGCAAAGCAAATGTCCAGGAAGGGGCAGATGCCCTAAAGGCAGGTCTCCTGTGCTACCCCAGGTCTGGCTGTCTGGGCTCCAACCACACCTGGCTGCAGAAAGCCTGCTGTCTGTTACTGTGGAGATCATCTCCCTTGGGCCTCCCTTGAGGGGTCTCGTCCAGCCCCAAGTCACTCTTCAAACCCGCGGCCACCTGCAAGGAGAGATCTATGAGTACCCTCTTCCCAGCACAAGGTCAAACACCTATTATGCTTTCTTCCCACCTCCACACCACACAGACTGGACTCTCTAAGATTCTTGGGCTATTTACCTGGGGAAAAGCCTACATCCAGGAGGTAAAACGTTTGTATATGCGTTAATGAAGCCCAGAAAGAGGTCACTGAGACGGTTCCCACTGACAGCATTCTCTTCTTCTCTGCTTCAAGTACATGCTTCTGATGTGAAAGCAGCTTACCTTCTTCTGGAACTCATCTTTACTGTATCCTAATAGTTTTAGAAATTTCATTCTGGAGTCTTCCTCTAAGGTCACCTAATGAACCACACAACACACAAGTCTCCATTAAATCAATGTGAATGACCCTCTCTTGCATAAGCTGAACATCTGTGCCAGTGTACCCTCTAATATAGTTCTTCATACCACCAGAAGTGCCCTACTGAGGCCAACACCGTCTCTCCCCTTTTCCTCCCCCAATTTGATCCTGCTGAGCTGGAGGCATGGTGTTAACAAAACCCTCTCCCACTTCTACATGAAAACTGGACCATGGACCTTCTGTTGACTTACTAGATCTGTTAGCCTGGATACCTGGTAAGAGTCAAATGTCACCTATGTTTCCAGGCAACGTTGCTTGTGATGGATAAATTATATCTGGACTCGAACTACACAAAACTTAAATAGCATCTGTGGACACCATGCTCGCAGGCTTCCCTGACTGCAAGGACTCTTGTAACTGAAAAGATCTCTTGTAGGGACTCTAGAAACATTTTGGAAGTGGGTACAAGAGACATTGGCTCTTGTGGGCATGAGGCTTCAAAGCCGGGGCCACCGACACACCTGCCTTGTGTGCATCTCATCACCTTGCACCTGAGCTGTCTTTTGGGGAGGTGATGAGAACTCTGGACCGCTGCATGGGCTGCAAGAACCCCCACAGAAGAGCGCCACCTCAGGCTGCCCTGCCAAGCCGTGGTTCCTGTCCCACATCCTTCTGAGGAGACTGATGCCAAGTGAACCTAGAGTCTCGTGAGTCTAAAATATCTAGTTGAAGGGGCGCCTGGGTGGCTCAGTCGGTTAAGCGTCTGTCTTCGGCTCAGGTCATGATCCCAGGATCCTCGGATCGAGCCCCACATCGGGCTCCCTGCTCAGTGGTGAGTCTGCTTCTCCCTCTCCCTCTGCCTGCCTGTCTGCCTACTTGTGATCTCTCTCTCTGTCAAATAAATAAATAAAATTTAAAAAAAAAATATCTACTTGAAAACATAGTTCGTGGTGGAAGCTGCATAGATACAATAAACAAAGTCAGCTTAGAGGCGCCTGGGTGGCTTAGTCGGTTAAGTGTCTGCCTTTGGCTCAGGTCATGATCCCAGGGTCCTGGGATCTAGCCCCACATCGGGCTCCGTGCTCAGCAGGGCGCCTGCTTCTCCCTCTACCTCTACCTGCCTGCCTGTCTGCCTACTTGTGATCTCTCTCTCTCTGTCAAATAAATAAATAAAATCTTTAAAAAAAAACAAAACAAAACACAAAGTCAGCTTACCCACTCAGTGTCCCAGATACTGGGGGCCAAGCCTTCCTGAAGCTGTACCTTAATCTGGGTTAGGTGGCTGGGCCCTTCATTTGCCCTACACAGAGCCATGACTTCTGACTACTATCTTTCTCACAGTCTCTCAGGGCTCCCTTCTTCTCCCATACTTGTCCTTTGGAAATGTTCAGCCACATTCAGCTTCAGAACCATCATAATGGACAGCTCTTGGGTAGGTTTTCAACCAGACTCCCCTCTATCCTTAGGTACTGCTGCCTCCTTTGTTTAGAAGAAAGGCTCAACTCCTGATGATGCCCTCTATTCTCTTTCCCATTCCACCATTCCTGGAGCAGTTGGCCGTATTCTGCTTACAACAAAAGCATCATTTCTTATTCTTTTCTTCCCACACCTTTTTCTAGCTTCACTCTACAGTTGATGATCCTTCTCAAATCCTGTCTCCTTCCCAGATTCCTGGTGTCTACCATCACAAAGTTCTACTGTGTCTGAAGCATAGACCCCAAGCCCTTCTTAGATCCCCTGGGACAGCTCTGTCCTTTTTGCATTATTTACTACGATCCCAAAGCTTTGAATAATCCTCTCACTGCCTGTCCAGTCAGTTCTCTTTCTCCCTTTAGTTCTCTCCTCCCATCTACTCAATTCCTTTGACAGGTGGAACACTCCTCCTGATGTCATGCACAACTTGAAATTTCATTAGCACTGAACTTGATCCATGCCTCCAGAGTAAACTGGGACTTAAGCCCTGAGTCCCACCATAATAACTTGCCTTGGGTTATCTGAAACAAACTCAAAGCCTTCTCATGATGATGCCCCCTTCCAGCCAATCCTCTTTCCTTCCTTTCCTTTCTCTTCTCTCTTCCCATCACGTTATCTGCCCTTTGCCATGGCATAAAAGCCTTCACCTTGGCCTTGGTAAAGTATCTAGGACATCAGCAATAGAAGCAAAAAAGGCAAATGTCACTTGTACCCCTCAGCTTCCTTAGCTGCAAAAGGTCTCTGAGACACCAGTAAAAAGTAAAGATTCTGTGTCCAGAGGGTGGTGTGGTGTAGGAAAAAGCCTAAGAGGTCAGGGCCTCTGTAATCTAGGTCACAATGTGGTTGTCCATCTCCTAGAGTTTCTGGCTTTGGGGAAACACTTTCGGAGCAGCCAGCCTCAGGCTTCCTACCTTCAGGAATTGCCAGAGCATCTTTTCACTTTGCAGTGATGTTTGTTCGATCTTGTTCTGACAATAATTCAGAAGATTTCCTGATTCCAGGGCCTCCCGCAGCTCAGCTGACCGCCTCAGTAATTCAGATTCTGTGATGACTTGACTGATGAAGACTAGGCGGAGGCAAGGCTGTGGCATCTGATGGGCAGGGGTGCTGGGGAGGCCAAAGGTAACCAGCTTCCCTCCAAACTGGCGAGGAAAAACAAGAAGGGTTAAGGTTGTATCTTCAAGCTAAAAATTAACACCAAGTCCAAATCACAGGGAAGGCTATTTATTGGTCGACCCTAGGATAGGAAATCAACAATAACAACTCCTGGGGGTGGAACAGGATCAGGAACTGAGTAGAAAATGCACCCCTATACATAAACCACCTCTACATTTTTAGCACCATCAGCGTAAAACTCTAGCACACGGTACTCATCTTCTGACCCGTGCTGGCAGCCCCATTCTCCCAGTCACCCGACTAAACACCTTGGCATCGTCATGGTCTTTATACCCATCACAGCTACAGCCACGGAACAGCAGTCTGACCTCGTCTTGTGCAGTGTCTCTCACACAGGGCCCCCTGTCCCATTCCCAGCGCTAGCACACCTAGGTTATTGGAATAGGCTGCTAGCCTCTGGGTTTTCCTCCTCCAATCCAAGCCTTAGACTACTGGTTTCAAAGGCCACAGAAGAGAGCTTAAGCTCCTCCAAAGTCAGGGCCAGACTCTCTAGCCTCTCTCTCCCTGCTCATTCATGTGATCGCTCCACATCCCCAAAGTGCCCAGTTCATTCCTGCTTCTGAGCCTTCAACCACCAAAACAGCCCCCCCTGAGCATCCTTCTCACGCTATTAGGTACCCTACCTAAAGCATCTGTCACCAAGCAGAGCTTAGTAAAGTTCCTTGACTCCAGCAGGTCTCCACCGTGGCTGCACATTAACACAACCTGAGGAGCTATCCAGAGTCATGAGGTTGCACTCCAGACAATGAAGTCCGAATCTCTGGTGGTGGGACTAGACATCAGTATATTTGAAAGTTCTTCAGGTTGCAGCCATGGTTGACAACTACTGCTTACTCCCCAGCCTGCTTCTGCCTCTGACCCTCCCCCCTCTCATGTGCTCTCTCTCTCTCATTCTGTCTCAAATAAAAAACAAACAAACAAACAAACAAACATAGAATTACCTCCTGAAACAAACAAACAAAGAATGTACTTCTCTCAACATCAGAATTCTTCACCTCCTGAGTATGTTAGATTTACCTCCACAATAAAACTGGTGGCTGTGAACACAAGAACCACTTATTCGATACATCTGTTTTCAATTCAAACCTAATATTTAAAGCACTGGATTAAGTGCTTTAGGACCCTGCCACTCCTCAGACCAGCCACAAGGGCATCACCTGGGAACTTGTTGGAAAATCAGAATCTTGGGCCCTACCCTAGACTGAATGAACCAGAATCTGAATTTTTGTAAGATTCTCCAGGTAATCTGTATGTGCATTAAAGTTTGAGAAGCACTTGCTTTAGGGATAAAAACGAACAAAATGTGGTCCCTATCTTCAAGTCTTCAAGGAGTCTATTACTTAGTAGGGTCTCCACACATGTATTTAAGTAACCTTAGTATAGTTAGAATGTATCATTACAGGAATAGAAACCTTGGAAGTGAAGTTTGACAAGGGTTTAAAGACAGGCATTGTGGACGGGGTGGTACTTAAGCAAGGGACCATGAAAGACTATAGTAGGATTCAATGGCTCAGGAGAGACGTGAAGGGCAGGGTACATGCAGAAGCAGCAAAGTTGAGGAGTTATTTGTGGAACAGAAAGTAGTCATATGTAACTGGAACCTAGGGAACACATAAGAATAAAGTGGGGGGGCGCCTGGGTGGCTCAGTCGTTAGGCGTCTGCCTTCGGCTCAGGTCATGGTCCCAGGATCCTGGGGTTGAGCCCCGCATCGGGCCCTCTGCTCTGCAGGAAGCCTGCTTCTCCCTCTCCCACTCCCCCTGCTGTGTTCCCTCTCTCGCTGTGTCTCTCTCTGTCAAATAAATTAAAAAAAAAAAAAAAAAAGAATAAGGTGGGGATAAAAACTGGAAAGGTAAGTCCATAAGGAAATGCAGGTCAAAGGTTTTGGGCAGAGGAGTGACAGGATGGAATTTATATTTTTTTTCTTTCCTGCTTTGTATTTCTAACCCTTACATGTCTGGACTCACTACCAGTCCAGACATGTAAGGGTTAGAGAAAAATCAGGTGGAATCTCAGGCAGTTCTCTATAACCAAGCAGCCTATAGCAACCAATACCTTTTAGACAGGACTGGCACAGTAAGCAAGGTGAAGGGGTAGAGGGAAAAGCAATAGTAACTCTGCTTGAGCCCTAAAATGGGCCTGATCTGAGACACAGGCAGTGGGAATAAATCTATAGAACACAGCTACATGTTGGGCTTACGAGAGGCTTCACAAACACACACACACGCACAACCATGCACACACACCCCCACACACTATACTTACAGCAAATGAAACACCTGCTGGCCTTCTCATCCATTTGGGGGGTTTTTTTAGAGGAGGTATCAATGATGCTTGGGCCCCTTGCTCTGGTACCTGCAGTGGTGGGAGAGGCTGGCCTTTGCTGAAGAAAGAAGAGATCTGAGGGTAAAAGCACACCTGTATCACCAACCCGAAGTGGTGCTGCATCTGTAAACCTTACTCTGGGAGAAATCCTTGAGATAACCAATCTGGCCCAGAAAGGCTGGACTCCCGTTTTCTAGGGAACTGGTAGTGAGGGTAGGACTCCCATGCAGTAGGCTCTTGGAAAGCCTACTGCATCCAAGGTCTACAGTGGAGTGTAGACACAGAATGGATCTACAGGAGAAAAGGAGATAAGACAGTTCATACTTCCAAAATAATGGTCCCGGCATGGAGATCCAATGTCCCTGAAATATCACAGGGAACATCCAAGAGCAAGAGTCAATATGAAGGCCTCTTTTGTATCGTGGCAGGAACGGACACCCTCCCAGGAAGATGGGCACTAGAGCAAAGGTGAAGCCCTCCCAACCCAGGGTCCTGGTTTCCCAGTCTCCAACAGTCCCCACTTCCTCCTAGGCCATTCGTCCTTTTCTCTCCCCCCATATAGAGACAGCATTCCCTCCAGCATTCTCCACCAAGCCTTTCAAACCTTGTCAGCCTGTCTCATCTGCTGGACTTCCCAGCTCCTACCCATCACGGAGTACAATCTTATCCAGCCGTCAAAGGAGGCAGCAGAGAACACTGGAGGGTCCCGAGGGCACCACTGCACATCAAAGCACCAGCTGCTCTGTGTGGGCAGCTTATACACTACCTGTGAGGGAACCCGACCATTAGAGAAACCCTGACTTAGGTAACGTGACCCAGAACACACAGCGGATTTCCCCTCCCAGCATGCCCACACAACGGCGAGTCTACCTCATTGCTCCCCAGGTTCCAGCACAAGATCTGGTTGTCCTTGGCACTACTGAGCAGAAGCTCAGCATCAGCCTGGCTCCACGACACTGACAAGATCCCCCTAAAAAGGAAAGAGCAACTAACATTTGTCAAATGGCTACTCTGAGTAGGGTACCTCAAATATCTTGGATAAGTTTCATCCCTATAAAACGAGAAGTCTCATTTCATTTTACAAACGAGGAAAATGAGGCTTTGAAAAATTAAAGAACCTTCAGCAGTCATGCAGCCCGAACCCAAGTCAAATCCCAGAGCCTATGCGCTACACACTGTATCACTCTGCCCCCAGACGTCCCCACAGAATGGCCTGCTTCTTTTCCCTGACTGTAGAGTAGGGACTATGAACAGCATGAATCAGGCAAGCACCCACCCCTCTGGGTGCTTTTTTTTTTTCGCAGGAGGGTGGTGAGGACCCAACTCTTCAAAGTCCCCAAGAAGGTATAGAGGCAATACAGCTCTTTAGTAAGAAAGAACAGTGTGGGCTGCTTTTTCTGCTATGGGCCTAAGAGCTACAGCTTCAGGGGCAGGCCTGTTCAAAGGATAGATAGGAGCCTAGGTTCTCTTATTAAGGAGAAGTCTTGGAGGAAGCAACCTCACTACCTAAAGAAATGAACATTATCCTTAAATCAGAGCCTGGGGACTCTCCCAGGGGGACTAAACATTGGCTCCAAATATTTCTCATGACCCCATCTGCACTCCCATTTCTGGAAGTTAAATGGAATCTCAGGTTCTTTTCCATAACCTCAGGATCTCAAGGATCTCCTCTTTGTTGGGGTTACAGCTAGGACTGGGAGACTGTGTGTTCACTGGGAATGACTTTGAAGACACGCAAGATGTTTGGTAACTAAAGTGAGGCATTCACTGCCTCCTACCCAGGTCAGTTATGCCCCACCATCCACCAAGGATGTAGACAGAGCTTGAGACATTACCTACTGTGGCTCTCCAGCACCTTCAGGGGCGAGGAGGCAAAGCGCAAATCCCACAGCTGAATCACTGGAAAACGATCATCTTCTGAACACAGCACCAACTGGGTGGCTATGTCTGGGTGCCAGGCCAGGCCTGAGCTGTGCATCTGTGGACAAAGCAGACCCCAATGGGTGATATAACCTGACACTTCTGGTTATGAACCTTTTCTGCCCAGTTGGAATAGGATCTCTGAGGGCAGGTTTTGTGTCTCTTCTATGTGATAAGTGATGACCATGAGTAAGTAAGGAACACTAGTAGCCTCTGGATCAGCTGTTTAGCTTCCCTAAGCATTCACTCTCAACAGGAAATCTGCTAAGAGGCTGAACCTACAAGTGCAACAGCTGAAAGCAGACACCTGGCCTGGGGAAGAGCAGCTCCAAAGTCTAGGCATGAGAAAGAAGCCAGAGCCTGAGCCTGTATTCTGTCTCCACGACGCACCCTGTTGCTATGATCGCTGACTTTGATGATAGGTTCATTCTTCCTGAGATCCCACACAACTGCCTTGCCGCTGGGGTGAGCAGAAGACAGAATGTGTTGAACTTGCCGGTTCCAAGCGAGTGCCTTGATGTCTTCTGGAGGCTGCTGAGGCAGGAAGGGTGGGGAGGGATAGAGGATAGAGGATAGAGGACAACTTGTCATCTCCTGGACCAAGAGCCATTTGCTGTTCCACTGCTCCCAACCCCCCATAGAAAGCCGAGGAGTAGACATGGGGCTTCCCAAACCCAGTGTCAGGGAGCTGGGAGTTGAATTTTCCAGAGAGGATCCTTTAGGGGACTGGTGTAGAAGCTGAGAGAATGGCAGGCACACTTGGAATTTACCCCTATCCCAAGGTGCTCCTGAGAGGATGGAGTCAAGATTTAAAACAGCCCTCTTATCTATGACAAAGAGAGAGGTAGAGGAGGAGGAAGGGAGGGAAACAAAGACATGTAAGACCCCCAGAAAGAATGAGGCAGAAAGAAAAGCCATTGCTATTTTTAGGGCACAGGGTGCTATCAAATTTATACTTAACTTACCTCACGATACTGTAAGCACAAGACAGAGAAGAGCCAGGAAGCAAAGAAGATGGGCCCAGTTACAGACTGACAGGTAGATGCACTCAGAGACAGACATACACCAGATCCCCAACTGCATGGGAGAACCTGCTATAGAGGCAAAGCTGACCCACCCCAACAAAAAGGACAAGGATATATCTGGGCGTCCCCTCTTGGCCCCACTCCACTGAGCCCAGGGCCCTACTCTACTCTGCCTAAGCTCTACTATGATAAATAGTACTCACTCCTTTTCTCAATGTCTTTTACTGCCTTTCTTTATCTTCCTTCCAGAAACCCTAGGACAGTTCTTGACCACAAACCACCACACACACACCCTCCCCTCCATCCCTGTTATGGGTTGGCTGGTAATATGTTAGTCTGTGGTGCTTTATTTCCCTCCAGTGGTAAAGTCCAAACTCTCCTGTGCTCTGGGTGCCTCCAGAATTCAAGACTTTCCTGGGCAAATCAGCTGCACACTCTAATCAGCAGCCCCGGGAGACTCCTTACCTGTGACTTAGATCCTGGGGTTCTTGGCACATTTAGGTTATTCAAATCCCAAATAAAGATTTCAGAATCACTGGCTCCCGAGGCCAGGAGGTTGCCCTGTATGAAGAAAAGGCCTTAGGAGACACACCATCCCAGGAAAAGGTACGAACAGGTAAGGGGGAAAGAGACCCACATTTGGGGCTTCCAAAACCTCCCCCATAACAGTGTGGGAAGGGCTAAGAATTATAGATTAGAGGTCACAAGTGAATGCTTCCACTCAGATCTGTGGCTCCATGGCTTGGGCATGTTTGACCAAATGAAATGCAGTACCTGGAAAGGATTAAAGTCAAGGGCTCTGACAGCCCCCGTGTGCTTCTGTCTCTGGGCAATCACAGGCTCCTTCCCGGGAGACAGGATGTGGGCCACATTGTATAGAGTAAGCATGCCATTGTCCCCGCCACCTGCAATGACCCCGGAGCCTTCCAGAAGCCCATCGCCAATGTTCCCCCAGATCAGCTTGTAAAACCTACAAAGAGGAGGAACTGGCATCAGCACCAATGCAGAATCAGGTCAGTAGGCAGAGAGGAGGCATTTCTGTCAGCCTCTGCCATTACGCAGGTATCCCCACCGAGATGGAGTCTGCCTGTCTCCCTCACTTACTAGACACACAACACCATATTCCTTGCTTGGTCCTGCCCTTTCTCTGGAAAAAAATTCCATCTTTGTTACACTAGGAAGGCAGGAGATCACTGCCTCAGGGTTGTGTGGCATGTTTTTTTTTTTAATTAACATTATTAGGGTTATATAGGCCCAGGGATACATATTTCAAATAGATTAGTTTACTTAATCTTCACAACTCAAATAACAACAACTAATGCTTATTGGATACTTCCTATGTGCCAGGCACTGTTTTAAGTGCTTCACATGTATTAGCTGATTTAATATTCAATAACCCTATGAAATATTATTAACTCCATTTTCAATTGAGGAAACTGAGGCACAGAGAATTTATGAAACTTCTGTATACACAGTAACTTTATCCCTATTTGACAGCTAGGAAGTGGCAGAATCAAGGTTTAAAGTCCGGCCCATCTTATTTTATTTATTTTTATTATTATTTTTGTGGCGAGAGAGTGAGAGCAGGGGAGGGACAGAGGGAGAGGGAGAATCTTAAACAGACTCCACACTCAGCATGGAGCCCAACATGGGGCTTGATCTCATGACCCTGAGATCATGACCTGAGCCAAAATCAAGAGCCAGACGCTCAACCCACTGAACCACCCAGGTGCCCTGGCCCACCTTATTTTAGAGCCTGAGCTCTTAACCAACATAAAATAGTGTATTCTGTTTAGAGGAAGATCCAAATTCTTTTGTACCTGACTAGAAGCAGGTTTCCCTACACCAACAATTGCTGTCCCCTCTTCCCTCTCAAGCTGGAAGTAAAAAAGACCCAAGGACCTCTCCACCCTGTGTCTCTTCCCTGTGACTAGCCCACTGGATCTGCTATATGGTTGCAGTGGGCCAGCCCTACAAACATAGAAGCGTAAAGAATAAACATACCTCTTGGAAAACACTTTTGGCTTTCTAATGATGCTTCTCACAAGACACTGCCCCTGTCTTGCACAAAAGAAAAAGATGGACCCTGCGCCCCTGCAGACAAAGATGGGTCCTCTGCAAAGCTCCTAGGGAAGGCATGTGAGATCCCCAAAGCCTCACAGGTAGTCTGTCCTTCATTTCACAGCTGCTAGCCAAGGGTATTTCCACAGCCCTTCAGAGAAGCCAGATTTCACATCAAATGATGTCATAAGATCCCTAACTGAAATGAAATGCTTCCACACCCTGGAAAGTTGGCCAAGAAACTGAGTGGGGTGACCGGGCAGGGACCTGTCTGGCCAGTCACTGGTGCAGCAACCACCTGTTAGAAGTAAAGAGCTGAGCACTGGTTGAGACCAGGTCAGCAACTGAGATAAAACAGCAGAGCTGACACAAACAGTGGCTCCGAAGTTACTGTCCAAACGGCCATGTGTTCTAAGGTTGCACTGATCTTAACAAGGCAGACAAATGTGCATTACACGGGCTCAAGAGGCTGCCACGTCCGCCTGGGGCCAGACGTCAGTGCGGGCAGCAGGCAAGTCAACAGAGTAGCTAGAGAAGCCCAGAATCGGTTTTACAGGAACCAGAGGAGAGTATGGCCAGAGAAAAACTCACACAGGGATGGTAGAAGATGTTGCAGTAACCTCAGTATGGTCACAGCTTATGACATCCAGACCGAAGACAAAGGTACCTGAAACCTCAAGGGGGAATCACCAAAGAGTTGGAAAATAAAGCCCTGTTAGTTTAGAGTGACCAAAAGGCAGAACACACAGCGTGACAAAATGACTCTCTCTAAGCATGTAGAAAGTACAGTCCTATGGTTAACGATTTCACTAGTGAGGGTGAAGCAGGAGCCCAAACAGGACATGATAGAGAACACCTGGGAGAGTGGGACCAGCTGGGACAAGTTAAGCAAGGACCCGGACATGATCATTCAGTGGGCTCAAGGAGTGTCAATCATCTCTGCTCTGCAAATGGACAGGGAATAACACGTGTGTGTGTGTGCGTGTGTGTGTGCGTGTGTGTATACACACGTGCATGTGCATGCAGAGGAAGAGCGCATAAGCATGTAGGCAAATGCAACAAAAAATTAACAACTGATAAATCTAAGGAAAGGTACATGATTATTCACTGTACTATTCTACAACTTCTCTATGTTTGAATAGTTTCAAAATAAAAACTTAAGAAACAAGATGACCTTTGGCTTGAAAATAGGACTTTCAGACATTAGAAGAAAAGAGATTTAAGGAGAAGGTATAGAAAGCGTTTGTATAGAAAAATGGGAACTTTCAAAACATGAGAATACCGATGGAATTCTCTGCTGAAGAGGTTCCCATGGAGATGGCAACAATGGGCACCATAGAGCATCAAGAATGATGGGTGGCACCTAAAGAAAATACAGATTCTTTACACACCTACCTAGACCTTGCAAAGCAGAATTTCCAGAGAGAGGCCCTCAGAATCTACATTTTTAACATGAGCCCCCAGGTGATTCTAACAAGCAACCAGGGTTGAGAACCCCTGTACTAAATACATCAGACTGATACCAGCCTAGACCAATAACCAGTAAGGGAGGACATTGAAATTCACAAAGACAGAACCAGCCCCAATGACCAGCTCAGGGCTACGCTTCTGGCAGAGAGAAAAAGACAAGGTTAAAGAGAATAAACTGAGGCCTGAGAGATCAGAGGGTCATCCCAGCGAAGCTCAGCTGAGGCCAAGCTTTAGCTACTTTGTAATTAGGAACGTGTGCTGTGTCAATTCTTGCTTCTGTAATTTAGGTACTTCTTTGTTTAGGATTTTGCTTTGATTTGCTTAGTCAGGTTCCTTTTTAAAAACCCCAACCTCATCTTAGCGAACTAAAGTGAAAACAAGCCAAAATAGCTGAGGGAATCCAAGTTTCCTTAAAAGTCAGAGCGGTGAAGGCAGTGCTCCAAGCTGGAGAATGAAGACAGTGAAGCGGAGCAGTGGCTGTTTGAGGAAGTCCTTTCCTTATCCCTAGTAGGCACCAGGCTACTTATGCCCATACATCCCGAATTTACAGCAGAGAAAAACAGAGCGAGAGAAGTTAAATAACGTGTCCAAGAGGACATTAGATGGCAGTGCTGGGTTCTGAACCCAGGTCTATCCAACAACAAAGCCTACGTTCTCTTTACTCTGTGATTTTTTTTTTTTAAGATTTTTTTTATTTTGAGAGAGAGAGAGAGAGAGAGAGCACGAGCCATAGGGAGCGGCAGAGGGAGAGGGAGAAACAGACTCTGTGGGGCTCCACCCCAGAACCCAGAGATCATGACCTGAGCCTAAGGCAGCCACTTAACCAATTGAGCCACCCAGGCACCCCTCTACTCTGTCATCTTGATGTAATCTCTAAAGAAGGCAAACCTTGGAAATGGGAAAACCAAGTACACAAAGTGATCTTTTTCTGCTTGCTGTTCCACACACAGGCACCCAAAGAAGGTCACAGTACTCCCCAAGTAGCTAGAACTGCTATAAAGGTAATGGAAGGTAGATCACCTACTTTCTTCATGTTACTAGAGGATGGGTCATACGGAGGTTACAGAGACCACAAGGAGATCAGTGTAGACACAGGGTGGAGTACAGTACACCCATCACACATCGGCCTCTGATCTCATTCAGCCACAGCAGCTGAGACCTCAGTCCACAAGTCAACACACATCACGTATTATTCTCCCCAAAACATTTCTTCTTGCATGAGATTCGTCTAACCAAACATCGCCAGCTTCAGCGGGCGTGCTAATCCGAACCGATTCTGATGCATCCAGGGCATTTATCTACTTACAGCCTGAGGCAGTCCCTTGTCTGCACCCTTACCAGTGTTTCAGAGCAGTTCTTTTTTGGTCAGGTATTTCTAAATACGTAACATTTCTCTGATGCATCATGGATTGAGGATAAGGGGGTCTTCAGAATTCAAATGTGGTTAAGCCATGGGTCTGGTGAAAAGGGCAGGCAAAAGAAGGGGAAAGATTTTGAAAAGTATATGTTGAGGTAATAATGAAGAAACACAAGGAAGGTTTCTTAAAAAAAAAAAAAAAAAAAGAAGGGGCACCTGGGTGGTTCAGTCGGTTAAGCGTTCAACTCTTGATTTGGCTTGGGTCATGATCTCAGGGTCCTGAGATTGAGCCCTGAGTCAGGCTCCGTGCTCAGTGGGGAGTCTGTTTCTCTCCTTCTCCCTCTCCCTCTGCCCATCTCCTCTCTTTCTCTCTCTCTCTGATAAATAAATAAATAAACCTTCAGGGAGAAAAAAAAGGAAAAAGGAAAGAGATTATGCTATAAAAAAGAAAGGGAAGGAAAGACTGAACATAAGACCTGAATCTAGAGCCCAGTAGGTTCTTAGCAGTCATCTTGCACAACCTCTTCTTTACACATAAGTGAGGAAACTGAAGACCACTGTCAGAATACCATTTGCACAGTCATGTACCGTTAGCCAAGGATGCAACTCAATACAATTGTGCTTTCAACTAAACCATGCCAAAGATGACACACACAAAAAAGAGGAAAGCATAAAGCAAAGAATGGGCAGCCCTCTACTACCCTGATCATCTTGGTCAATAGTTTGAGATGTGGATTTCTGAGTAAGTGACTGAACCCAGGCTGAGCCACAAGTGGGTGTCTAAGATAATTTCTTCAACAAGACTCTTAATAGATCTAGGTCAAAGGTAATTCCTTAGGTCTCTGGAAATGCAAATCAATCTTTGGATACAATTATGGAGTTAGAAAAGAAAGTAGAGATGAAATACTATCAATAGTGTTAACTGTACTATTTATTTTGGTTTTAGCCCCAATCCTTGCAGGATGGAACAGAGTATGAAATGAAGTTTATGATTCCTGAATTGAGTACCACCAGTTCAAAAAGGATCCCTTCAACCTAGTTGGCTGCAAAACCAACCAATCATCCCCCTTGAAAAGCTCTCAAGCCACTAAGATTAACTGAACAATAACTATAACTAACTGAAATGGTGGCTAGGAGTGCTCACTTTGGTAATCCAGACATTTCTAACGTCACTTGTTCATTTAACAGATATTTATTAAGCATCTAATGCCAGGTACTGTTTTAGGAGCTAGAGATACAGCAGTGAGTAAAACAAACAAAAATCTCCGCCCAGAGGGATCTTAGGATATAATTTCAGATTTCTTTTTTCTAAAAAAGGGTTTTTTTAAGATTTTATTTATTTATTTGACAGAGAGAGAGAGTGCACAAGCAGGGGGAGCTGCAGGCAGAGGGAGAGGGAGAAGCAGGCTCCCCACTGAGAAGGGAGCTCAATATGGGGCTCAATCCCAGGACCCTGGGATCATGACCTGAGCCGAAGGCAGATGCTTAACTGACTGAGCCACCCAGATGCCCCCTTTTTAAAAAAGAATTTTTTTTTAAGATTTTATTTATTTATTTGACAGAGAGAAGGAGTGTGCGCATGTGCACACACAAGCAGGGGGCAAGATTTCTTAAGCAATTACACTGCCTCTTGATTAGGAACTCTTTCTCCTAAGGAGCCACTACTGTGCTGAAGCTGCTGCTTTGCTGGCTGAGGACAAGAGCCCTTGCCTCCTGCCCCTCCTCTTAACTCCAGGAGTATGAACATTATTGCATTAGCTCACCCCTTTCAGGGGCCCTTTCTGAAATGCTTGCTTAGATGCTAAGAATATTTCATGATTATTGGTAAACCCTCCAGTGGCTGCTCTTCGAAGGGAAAGGTACTGGAAATACAAAGAGATGTAAAAAAACTATAAAATAAGGGATACTATCAGAAAGTGATATAGGGGCTCCAGAAAGGGAGAATAACTAACCTTTATTAGGTTAAACCATGAAAAGAAAAAAAGGGTACTTCTGTCTAAATAAATTAATTAATCTCTCAGATGAACCAAAAAATGCACAAGAGAATGCAAAGTTGCATTTGGACCAGTAACCTCTAAAGTGGGATGGGCAAGATAATTTTCTGAGCTGTAGGAAAAAGACTTATATTTTTAATCTAAAAATTATAGGAATTGCATTTTTAATAGTAGAGTAATGCATGTATACTACTTACATTGCCTATATAACTTGAGTATAGTGAATATTCACATTTTCCCTGGTGGTATGAAAATTTGGAGACCACTGCTGTAAGGCACATCTTTATAAAACCTTTATAAAAGAAAAGTTGAATAATAGAAAAAAGGTAGATTTTGGAGTTAGGCCTAGATATAAATCCTAGCTTCCCAGAGTTTCAGTTTCCTCCTATGTAAAATGGGACTAATCGTATTTATGGCCCAGGCCCATTTTGAGGGATGAATAAGATATACAGAGCTCCTAGCATAGTGTCTGGCCTGTATACATATGCTCTGTGAATGCCAGTACTCAGCCCTGTAGGCCTGCCAGAGCCATGAAATCCACGAGGACCCAATCTGTGCCTAACCACGATGAAGAGAGAGGCTCACTCATTCTCCTCCCACTGGCAGAAAACAAGATATTGTTTAAGGTTATCTTCACAAGAGCCAAGGGAGGAAGGAGCCAACATCTCTGGGCTCAGAGAGAGATCAGGTACTTATGGGTCCAGCTTTGTGTGAGGCGTCTCTATCACATGATTCTGCCTGACACCACTGCTGCTGCTGACCGAAAAGGTACGAGTGGGTGTTTTAAAAAATCCTTTTGCAAAATAAACCCAGGGTTAACTTCTCCCCTCACGTATCTCCTCATGAGCCCTGAGAAGCACACATTACTACCAGGATTCCTGAACAGGGTCTACATCAGGATCTGTCCCGCACACTCATCAACAATTCAGACATAGTACCTGCTTGAGGCAGAAAGGACTCCCTTGTGTTTCAAGTCCAAAGAGGGGTCCCTGAAATCAATCTCAAAGATTTCCAATGTGCCATTTGTGCTAAAGGAGGCATCTAGCTGCTGGGCAGATGTTCCTAGGCACAAGAAAAGTTAGGAAGAGGCAGCATATAAGCAAAAATACATGCATGGGTTTGGGGTATAAATGGTTAGGGAGTGGAGAGGCAGAGGAACAGGAGAAGACTGGGTATACCCTTTTTCAAGTGGTAACTCCAAAGAAAGCAAGAAAACAGGAGGTGCCCTGGCTTGAGCCATAGTTCAAGGCTGCCCCCAGGTACTCCAAACACCTAATGTCCCCTTGCTTATGCTGCGAGCAAACCCCACCTTTCCATGACTCTAAAGCTTTCTCTGAAGCTCAATAAAGAATTCTGGATATTAAGTCTCCCTTTGACCTATGTATTTTCAGCAGATCATAGTCCACAATATCATCATACCTGTGGCCAGATACACAGGGTACTGGCTGGCTGGGCTCCACGCTTGGACAGCTGGCCGTTCAAGTTCCTTTAGCTTCATGGCCGGTCCTGTGTGTGGCAGAAAACTGACATGGCCCTCAGCCTACTGAAAACAGAAACCTGCAAACTTAGGAGTCAGATCCAGGGACTACCTGCAGACATGAGATCTTGTTTCTCTCTCCCCACCATGGAATGGGGATTTCAGGGCAATAGGAGCTAATATACACATAACCATCTGCAGATCTGCAAGGACAGTTCACTTACCTAATTACTGAAATCTAATGCTTTAATCCCAAAAGGATATCCAAACACAGTGGTTGCCACAGGCCCAACGGTGATGATAATCATCAGATCAGGTAATATCTCAGTGACCTCATCTATTCCTTTGGCTTTACGTGTCATCCATATGCTGATGACCCCCAAATTCATACCACCAACACAAATTTCTCCTCTGAGCTCCAAGTTCTTATGTATAACTTGCTAATCAAATATTTCCATTTGGATATAGCAAAGATACCTAAGTTAGTCTGTCTAAAACAGAATTCTCTATTCCCCCAAATCTGTTCTTCCTCCAGTTTTCTTCATCTCAGTAGATGGTACCACTATCCATCCAATTGCTCAACCAGAAAACCTGAAAATCACCCTTGATTCCTCCTTCTCCCTTATTCTCTTCTAATTCATCATTAAGTCTTCCTGATTTCACCTCCAAAATTATATCTTAATCTATTTACTTTTCTCCATCTCCACCACCACCACACTATTTGAAGATACCATCATCTCTCACCTGGATTACTGCAATAATCTTCCAACTGGTCATCTTTACCCTACCATAACCCAATTAACTCTACACAGCAGCAGAAGTGAACTTTTAAAATCAAAAACAGGATTTTGGCATTCCATGCTTAAAACCTTCCAATGACTTCTATTGCACTCAGAATAACATTGCTAGTGACCCTGCTCAAAGGCTCCAGCCTACCACTTCAACCTCATCTCTTGCTACTTTCCCCTCTTATTCATTGTGCTACAGCCACATTAGCCTTTTCTCGTTTCCTGGCTTTTTACTACCTCAGAGCTTTTGTAAATTCTGTTTCCTATACTTTGAACGTCCTTCCTTTCATTCTCTGCATAACTGGCTCCTTATCACATCTTTCTGGGCGCAGCTTCTCACCCCCTCAGAGAGGCGAGCCACCCAATGAAAATCAGACTCTGTCTTTTTCTCCTTGGTACCTTATTTGCTGAATGAAGGCAGACATCCATTTTAATTCTGTGGTTTCCAATCCAGTTCTAACGCATATTCAAGGTGCCATCCCAACAGGCTAGCAAAGTGGCAGGAAAGTGTTTTGTTTGTTTTTAATTTAACACTGAACTTGAGGGAGGAGGCTTGGGACCTGCTGTGACCTGCTTAAGGAAGCCACCGTCAGGTTTGTCTCAACCTAGAAAATAGCAGGTAGTATTACTCAATCTCTAATGTACTTTCCAGCCTGAAGAAAGTTTAAGGCTGCCAATTCAGCCAAGATTCTCAGGGGGCCTCTAAACGCTTGAGGCAACATCAGTTACGTTCGGACTTGCTGCACAACATATTATATAGTCACCACTGCCACCTGCTGGTCAAAGCCATTTTCACGTTTCTGGGGAAAGCCCTTAACAAAAGTAGAGGAGCTGTGTTTAGCACTGCTCATTTAACATGCAAATCTCAATTCTCACAATGGTTCTATGTGGCAAGTACTATTATTATCCCCATTTTACGGGGAAGAAAACTGGCTGGGCCGAGATGTGAACCCCAATCAGCCCCCATAGCCCAGTGCTTTTAACCATTATACTAGTTCAAACTCAACTCAACTCCACATGAGGTGTTAAATCCCCGACGGTCTAGAAACTGGGAAGACGGGCTTTTAATCTACATTCAACCAAGAGCCGAACAGACTCCTGCAGTGACGGAGGGCGGCAGCGACCCTCGGCAGCCCCGGCCCTTGGGGGCAGCACAGCTTCCCGCCAGACCTGGCCAGGCCCGGGCCCGGAGCGTACGGGAAGGCGCGAGGGCAGCGCAAAAGGGAGACCCTCGTCGGGCCGCAGCACCCCCGCGCGGCCGGGAGAGCCGGGCCGGGTCCAGCCCGAGGGCGGGCGTGGTGGGGCCCTGAGAGGCGCGGGCCGGGGTCTCCGCTGGGGGCGGGCTCCCCTCCCCCCGACTCTCTCCCGAGGGAGCAGAGGCACTCCCGGCCCCGCCAGAGAGGTGGCGAAGACCCACCTGCTCCGGGAGCCCAGGTCAGGGTAGCGCGGCGCAGCCAGAGCCGATCTCCTCCGAGGGCCTTTGGCTCGACTGGGCGCTGCGGACGGCGGCCGCCGAAGGCCAAAAGTAGTCCTGGCAGGGCACCGCGCGCGCGGAGCTTGGGGTCGAGAAGCGGGCCGACCGGCGAAGGATGGAATAGGATTCTCGCTTTTTCTCCGGGCTCCCTCACCTGTCCTGTGATTGCGCATTTCTGCCATGTGGGTCAGATCCTGCGACTACTAAGTTCTGGCCTATTCAATTTGAGCCAGGCTCCGGGAACAGCCCCCGCGAAAAGGGAAAATACTAATTCATTATTTGTTGAAGTGGAGAAGACCTGGTACTAGCTCCAGAAGCTCTCAGTGGAATCCTAATTGAAAAGGTAAATAGCAATCGAGGCCGTGAATAATGGCAACACACTACACCCCAGCAACAACGGGTGGCCAAAAGCTGTTGGCTGAACTAATTAAAAGGTATAGGCATGCAGGGGGCTAGGTACTGTAGACCAGGAACTTCCTGGAGGGTTTCAGGGACACGAGATATAGGTGTCATACCTTGCAGCGGCAAGATAGGTGGTGTCTCAGAAGGAAGGGCCCGACTGCCTAGTAGGCCCCCTGGCACTTCCCATACCATGAATTAAGGAGGCCGGATACAGATTGGGAATACCAGTTCAACTCTGCAGGTAATTGGGAGTTAATGAAAATTATGAGTAGGGATGCAATAAGATGAAGATTGTATTTTGAGACAAGTAATATGGATTCCCTTGGAGCTGGAGGCAGGGACTCAAATTAGGAGACTAATAGAATAGTCCCAGGTCCCAGGTGATGAAAGCCTGGATTAATACAGTGGCAGTGACTGTAAAGGAAAACTGGACAGGCTCTTGTGACTGATGAAGGTAAACAGTTGAAGGGGGAGGTGAAAAAATCAGATGGATTTTATTATGTTGACTGAGGGAATTATGGCATTTTCAAACAACGTTCTGTCAGCAGCTGAAGATCTTAGACCTGTTACCTGAGATTCAAAACTTTGGTTTAATGCATAAGTCCCACTGTGGTTTTGCCAGTTACACCTCCAAAAACAGTGAATTGGTTCAGTTATTTTATGACGGAGCCCCCAATCACCGTGACACAAGTCTAGATTTCCTTTTCATGTAGACTAGAGGGTTTTGAAGTCAGGACAGAAGACAATTTAGGGTATTGCTATGCCTGCCCACTCTCTGCGCACTAAGTACTCACTAAGCATTTCTTGAGCATCTTAGCACCACAACAGTGGATGAGACCTGAGAGTAAGTAAACAGGGTGGAAAACTGGGCCTTAGACTACACCTTAAATTAGGGAATGAGGCAGAAATGTCACTGATGGGAGTGTTCTGAAAGAAATTTGAACCAAAAGCGTAAGGTCACAGTTTTAAGCAGGACAGAATTAAAAAAATAAAAAGTACAGGGGTGCCTGGGTACCTCAGTCAGTTAAGCCTCCCTCAGGTCATCATCTCAGGGTTGTGAGATCAAACCGTGTCCGGCTCCACGCTGAGCGTGGAACTTCCTTAAGATTCTCTCCCTCTGCCCCCCCCAAAATAAATATTTTAAAAAATTAAAAGTAGGGGTGCCTGGGTGGCTTAGTCGGTTAAGTGTCTGCCTTTGGCTCAGGTCATGACCCCAGGGTGGATCGAGTCCCACATCGGGCTCCCTACTCTGTGGGGAGCCTGCTTCTCCCTGTCCCACTCCCCCTGCTTGTGTTCCCTCTCACGCTGTGTCTCTCTCTGTCAAATAAATAAATAAAATCTTAAAAAAAAAAAAAAATTAAAAGTAGGGGTACCTGGGTGGCTTAGTCGGTTAAGTGTCTGCCTTTGGCTCAGGTCATGACCCCAGGGTGCTAGGATCGAGTCCCACATCGGGCTCCTTGCTCGGCAGGGAGCCTAGTTCTCCTCCCTCTCTCTCTCTGACAAAAAAAAAAAAAAAAAAAAAATCTAAAAAAAAATTAAGGTATACTCTTCTCTCTCAGCTCACACATCTCTTAATTCTTTCACTGTTTTATAACTGCCAGTCTCAGCTTCTAGGTAAGTACCTGAAGGCAATTATTTTGTCCTTTCCAATTTTATATCCCCAGGACCTATCAGTGTCTGATATATAGATACACAGATGTTTAATATATTAAATATATTATCAAAGGTGACAGAGGACAGAGAATGAAGACAGATAAAAAGCCAGTGGAGACACTGAAGTAGAGGCATTTTAGTATCCGTACCCACCCCCTGATCTCATAAAAGTCCCCTTCAGTGCCTGGACAAAAACTAACTTGGATGGACTTGCTTTCATAGGTCATACTGAATGTGTGCTTTTTTTATGGGACAGGCTTTCAGGCAGCATGACTGCTTAAGAAAATGTCCCCAAAGGGACAAAAAGAAAATGAGCTGGTTCACTTAACAGATGCACTGAGATAGACCCTCAAAAACAGGAGCAAAAGCCATGCACAGGTTCAGAAAAACTCACTGGACAGTCCTCTAATTCATAAATGCAGGATTCAGAAGTTGCTTTGGAACAAGGAATACACACTCTTACAATAGAAATAACATTACGGTCACATTCCCAGGTGAGTCCAAAGACAACTATATATCCTGGAATATACTTGAAATGTGTTAAAATACAGTTTTTTAAAAAAACTAGCCACTATAAAAAGTTTTTTTTTTAATGGGAAATACTTTTTGTTCCAACTTGGGAAGTCAGGAACGTATCTTTCTTCTTCTTCAACCCTGTAAATGGGAAAAGGAGCTACCCTTACCACCTGCTGCCAACTGGAACCCTCAAATACCTTCACGGTCCCAGCAAAATTAACAAATTACCATTTTCTTGTGCTTAACTCCCCCCACCTCCTGTCTTTCTAATCTCAGAGGTGCTGGGGGGTGGGAACGGACAGCAGACCAAAAAAAAAAAAAAAAGGAAAAGGATGAGGTTTTCATGGCAGTGGCTATTCCTGGGGAAATGATGCACAGATACCACAGCACTAAGTTTTATTAGGGACTTCATTAAGGTTAAATCTCTAGAAATGAGGGAGTCAGTTCAGGGGCACAAAGCTGATGAAGCCACCTCAGATCTCATAATGAACCACTGGCTCAGGCTCTTTGGTGGGATCGCCGCCTCGTTCCAGGTACAGATTGTTATAAGGATACTGCTTTGGCCCCTAAGGAAAAAACACAGGTCAGCAAGATAGCATACATCCCAGCCAATACCTGGCTATACCCCACTCCGAGTTAACAATCACACATGGTAAGTGGATACGAGGTAGCCTCTGGTCAGACCCAGCTGCGCCAGAACAGCAGGAACAGCACTCCTCTTCCCTAATCAGCCCAAGGCAGAGAGAAAACCTAGATTGTAAGAGAAGTGGTGCCTACACTGTGTGTGTGTGTGCGCGTGTGTATGAGAGTGAGTGAGAGAGAGAGAGAGAGAAGGAGGGAGGGAGGGAGGGAGCTTTCTAAATGAGACGACGCATCCAACCATCCCACTCTCTCCTGGGGTCGAGACAGACTCAATCTCCTTTAAGTCACTCAGCCTCTAATGGTTCCACCACTAAAGTGGCCTAGCAAATGAGGCGTGCAGGAGCAGTGGTGGGGGAAAGCACAGAGGAGACACGGCTGGGACGTGCTTCAGGGGCTGCTGGCTTTACCAACAAACAGCTGTCAGAGAACACAGCTCAAGGGGAGGAGAAAAGGGTGATGTGCTTACAGAACTGAAAAATGGAAGCGCCACACTGTGTTTCTTGCTCTCCTGAAGTGAAGTTAGTGCTCACACCAGCCCTACGTGCACTCTCCAGCCTGGAGCCCCTGGGGCTTGGTAGGAAGGTTCGTGTCAGTGCACACAGACGTACCAGCTACCATCAGGACATTGATTATCTCTGCAGAGGTAGCACTGAGCAGCCAACTGCAAACCTGACAGTCTTCCTGCTTTCAGTTCTTTCCTGTACAATCTACTCGGTAGACTATTCCCAGATTAAACATCCTAAAATCCTAACCTTCATTATGTCATTTCTGTTCAAAAACTCAACATAGTTCCTTGCTGTCTAGAGGTAGACCAAGTCATCACTGGATCCCCAACCCCTAGCACAATCTGTATCTGGTACATAGTAGGGTCTTCATAAATATTTGAATTAATGTCTTACTATACCGCTGAGTGCAAATCCCTAACTACACAATCAAAGCATCCCAACCTAAATGACCAACTCACCTCACAACATTTTTTAACATGGCAATTTCCACACCTAATTTCCCAGAACATGAGATACTGATTCTAGAACCCCATCATGGAGCTACTGAACCAAGGATCTGAATTTTTAGCAGCTCTCTAGGTAACCAAAAGCTGGTTATCTAGGAATATTTTATATGCCTATTCTATTGCAGCTGACTAACTCTCCTTTTCCTTCCTTCATTCTATTTTTCTTGCCCCAAATGTTCTCTCCAACTTCTGCCCCAAAGCAAAAGTCTATACATATTTTTAGTATCTAGCATGATCCTTCTTTTTAACAAGACCTCATACCCCTTAACACATAAGTTCACTACAAACATATGGACACTAAAACTGCCACATTCCTATATCTCTGTTCAAATGTTGCTCATCGTGTCATTTTCTACATCTTCTTCTTATCCAAATCAAACTTCCTTAAAGCTAGACAGTATATTTTCTGTGTCTTTTACGCTCTCCAAGATAAAACTGTTGTGCTCGTAGTAAACAATTGCTTCCAGTACCCTATAGGACCTAGTGCCCTTCACACCTCCAGCAAAGAATAGGGTTTCAGCTCTAGATTACCTGACTCCACCTTCAAAGATCACTTGCTAAAATATAATTGGTAAGTATAGTCCCCAAATGGCAACTTTAGAAGACTAGTTGACTTACACATTCTCATTTCTCATCTAGTCCTGAACTGTTTCTTCTCACTCAGGCTGACCCAAGAAGTAGGCATGGAGCAGTTCTCTGAGACTTGTGCCAGGTCAATGGGTAAGGCCTTCTACAGGCCTTAACAGGAAGCCAAGCTTGGTATTGGCTGGATCCCTACTCCAGAGACTTCATTCCCTCAGGAAACAGCACTAAGT